ATACCACCTTTGGTGCCTTCTCTGAGACAAGGCATGCGGTTGAGGAATAGATGGCAATGACTCCATCAACGCTTGTTGCCCCAACCCACCAGAAGAGCAAGGTAGTGCATGTGGCGTGGAAAAAGCAGGTGATCTCACTAACTCCCCCTCTGGTACCAATCTCAAATACATATAATCCCCATTCTCAGGATTTGAAGGGGTGATGAATTGATCAGATGAAGAAGCCAGATCTGGAGCCAATGTGCTTGTTGCCTGTTATCACATTTCTTAGGAGTAGGCCAGGATAATAAGTCATTATGTCTCCTCTCTCTCTCTCTCTAATTTGTCCCGTTTATCTGTAGCACACTTCTTTCATTTTGCTGGGGTTGACTTCAAGGATGCCTTTGATACTGAAATCCAAGTTGGTGCTGGAACTGAAGTGGATTCCAAAGTTGACACAGGAAAGTCTGAGTTCAAAAGATCCACATTTTTAATGGTCCCATTTGCTAGGACAAAGAAAGTTTTTCTACTGCTTTTTGTGCTTGTTGACAACGAAGGGATTACGTTAATGGATTTAGCAAATATCTCCCAGAAATAAGATCGCAGTCTATTAGGGTGATTTTTTTTTAACAGAAATACAGGTAAAGCACTTACAAATTTTGCACTTCTGACTGATATGACTCCCACTGAGACAAAACAGGCATTTATTGTTTCCATCAGAATGCAGCACTTTGCCCCCACAAGCAACTCACTTTTTGAAAAGAGCTCCAGAGGCCATTAAGTGAGAAACAGGGGAAGTCTGACAATAACACTAAAGAACAAATCCGATAATAACACTAAGAACTCTTTTTTGAAAAGGTGACCAAAAATGAAAAACAAATATTTAGAGTTTGAAGAAGAATAGAATTCAAAGATAAGTAAGGTTCCAGCGTTCTCGGGTTGCTGCTCATGCAGCAGACTGAGGGAGAGTCATTAGGGTGTACCTGGTCATGTGTGGTAGCACTGGGGAGGAGGGAAACACTTCTATTTAAGATAATTATCGCTTTAAAAATAATTATCAAATGCTGCGCTCTTTTGCATTTCCACGCCCTGTCATTCCACAGCCCAACCAAACACCTGCATATTAATGGGTCAAAACATTGTCTATCTGATGGGAGTGAGCTGAAGTGCAGCAAACTGTAGGATAAAAGGCACTTGCCAATTTTTAACATGCCACAGGCCTCTTGCTTTTGATGTAACAGACCAAGACAGCTATCCTCCAAAAAGTAAAAAGCTGTTTCTTTATGTAAGAAATGTACCTATTCAAGGCCAAGGTAAATCAATATCACAGGACGGTTCTTGCTCCTTAAAAATACTCTTTCATATTTTGCTTCCACATTGTGTGAGTAGAAATCATTTTGTTTTAGTGCTATATGCTACTCAGTAGGTGCCAATGTTTATGGGTGCTTGGAAAAGTTACTTTTTGAATCCCTTACACAGCATTGCCAAGGGAGATTCTGGAGTTGTCTTGGGTCCAGTGGAATGTTTCTGCATGAATAGCTGGACTGCATACAAAAAGTGAAACTAACACAAATAGGAACAAATAGGAGCTTTGTGGTACAGTGGTTAATCTGCAGCACTGCAGTGAAAACTCTGCTCACACCCTGAGTTCAATCTGGGACTCAGGTAACTGGCTCAAGGTTGACTCAAGTTTCCATCCTTCTGAGGTCAGTAAACTGAGTACTCACCTTTGTGGGGGGGGGGGTCAGGGGTGTGTGTGGCAGCAGCAGTGGTAGCCTGTATAATTAAACTGTAAACCACACTTTAAGCAGCACACTTTTATGCAATCCTCAGCCTGTGACCGGGGGCAAACTGTCTAGGAGACTGTTCTCCTCTCTGCATTAGCTAGAATTATGAACAAGCATTCTATTTTAATCAGTCCTCTGCTGCTGCATTGGCACTTAGCAATAGTGGGAAAAGAGAACTATCTATTATTCAAGCACTAGTTGTGGAATAAAAATAAACATTTATCTCATGCATACATATTTTTCAGCTTATAGCACCCAGTGCTGAGAGAGCTCACAAAAACAACTTCATGTTTGCTTATTCCTTTGGCCACATGATTGAAGATGACTGCTCAGGGATTATAAATTTGCTCTTGCTCGGTGAAGGATATATTCTTCTCTTAAAACAAACAAAAAACAAGCAAACAAACGGAAATCACAAACATGATCACCACCGCATCCTGCCAGAATGGTATACTTTCCTATCAGAGTACAGAGGTGCACATGTGGATGACACCAAATAACTATACATCCATGTACATGAAAACATGTGCACATAGATGCCTTTCATTGCATAGCAACATGATATGGAGTAAATCTGTAGATGCATGTCATTCTTGTAAACATGGAAATGTGAACATCTGGACATAATGTCCCAATGTCACAATGATCTGCCCTCTTTAGTGCATTTTCACTGAATGTATAACTCAGATCTGTTACAGCCTTCTGAAGCAAAAAAACAACAACCCAGCCTTAATATTTCAGTTATATGGACCACAGACAGTGCTGCCATAGGTAATGAGTTGATCAACATGTAACTGGAGATTAAACCAGAGGTATCCCAACCCCTTGCTATTGAAATGTCACAGAGAGATTTCCAGCAGAAGAAAAGTCTGCTTCTGAGGTCATCTGGGTGGATAGTATTCTCCTCTCTCTTTCTATCTGTGCCTTTGTACATGCAATCAGGTGTTTGTGTATGACAATCCACAAAGCAAATTAGGTGTTTGTGCAAATGGAACACAGGGCTGTAATTTACTTCACATTATTGAAAGCTTACTAGGAGGCCACCTTGAAAGAAACCAGCAAAGAGAAAACGAGATAAGACGCTTTGAATTTGATTCTTAACAAAAGAACGGAAAGCCAAGAAGAAAGAAAATGTGATGGGAATGGAGGAAAAACACCATCATTTATATTAACTGACGGATTTTTGCTCATATATCAAAGAGGGCCGTACAATGCACCAGACTGGACTAAGAGCAAGTGTGTATTTATAAACCGGTAGGGCGTACATCTGTTAACAGATTAGCTTTTTGTAGCCTTAAGTGACCTCCCCAGACAGGACAGCTATTCTTTTCTCGAAACACTGGGACAAGGTCCCCATTAGAATGGTTATACTGGAGGTCCTCTTTAAGAAAGCACGATCCTCCATTTGAAAGGCTGGCAAGAGAACTACGGTGCTTCTGAAAGAGCCCTCTATTTGAAGGGATGTCCAGTCTGAGTCCCATTTAAAGACAAGGAACCAAAAGAAGCAGTTCTGAAGCAGAGTAGGACGTGCTGGGTCAAAGTACCCTGATCTGCTGGGACTAGGGCATTATTCATCACCCACCTCAGGCTCTCCTCTTTCTGTGAGGTTAACTGTAGTCCTTACAGTAGCTGGAAGAGAGGGATTTTCTCAGAAACAGCACAACCCTGCAAGCTATTTTTTGTTGTAATGCAAATTATATGAGAGAGATTGGGTCCATTAAGAACTATTGTTCTCCTCCTTAGTGGTCGATATGCATTGATCCAGCCACCTGCACATCTGGATTCTCCTTACTGGTAAGGTAGTTGTGTTGACTGTCACCACGAACACTCATAGTGTTCGTGGTTGTGTTGACTGTCACCACGAACACTCATCACCCCAAAGACATCACTACATGATTGAAAAGAGGGAGATCAGGAACCTTGAAATTCTGAACACCTGGGACTCAGCAGGTACACAGACTGCATAGTCACAGTTTTCTAAGCTCATGTGAAATACATTGTAATTCCATTTAAATTTTAAAAATTCTAATTTTGTGTCCATAAATATGAATTAGCACATGCCATTTTATACAAAAATGTCACTGGAAGGGCAGATCCTGAAGCTGAGGCTCCAATACTTTGGCCATCTGATGAGAAGACTCCCTGGAAAAGACCCTGATGGTGGGAAAGTGTGAAGGCAAGAGGAGAAGGGGATGAAAGAGGACAAGATGTTTGGACAGTGTCACTGAAGCTACCAATATGAATTTGACCAAACTCCAGGAGGCAGTGGAAGACAGGAGGGCCTGGCGTGCTCTGGCCCACCCTGGGAAAGCCTGCGTCGTTGTCGTTGGCGGGACCTCCGGATGCCTTCCAGGGCTTCTCCACCGCCATGAGAGGCATCTTGGAGGTCCCGCTGCCACCGCTGCTCGTGCTTTGGAGGCATGATTGGCGGAGGGGGAGACCTCTGGATGCCTTCCAGGGCTTCTCCGCTGCCATGGGAAGCACCTTGGAGTTCCCCCCGCTGCCACCGATTGTGCTTCAGAGGCTCGATCAGTGGGAAGGACCTCCGACAGGCCTCCCATGGTGGTGGAGAAGCCCTGGAAGGCATCCAAAGGCATGATCGGTGGCCTACAGACTGGAAGTGTGATTCACAGAGGCCGTGAAGAAGAACGACAGGTTGCCCACCTGTAATTGTAGTTCTTCGAGCGGACCTCTGTGATTCACACATCCCGCCCATCCTCCCCACTGTCACACCATTCTGCTTAATATAATGGCAGTTGACACAACTGAAAGGGGAGCCTTACCGGAGGGAGGGGTCTACACTAATGTGTTTTTTTGCTACCGCATAAGCTCTAGAATATTCCAATGAGGTTCCGTGCATGCACAGATTACCCAGAGTGTGATTCACAGAGGCCACAAAGAAGAAAGAAGGATTCAAGCTGAACACTCCAAGACAGTTCATGTTGTAGAAGGCCATGTCTACAGAAAACTAGCTGGGGGAAAAATAACATATCTTAGGTTACTCCCTTACTCCTCCAAAGAACTGAACCTGGAGTATTATATATTCAAAGCATGTAATTTACCGCTGTGGTATGGTCTCTCAAAATTTTCCTGAAAGAAAATCTTAATTGTTATAGAGAAGATTATACTTAATATTTGCATGTTGTTCCCATTTAGGTTTTTCAGTGCTAAAAAAAACAAGTATATATGTACAATACAATCTCCTTTCATAAGGAAGCAAAAATAAACCCATACCTTATTGTGATAGGCAGAAGGGTGTCTCTGCTAATGGAGCGGCTGGAAGTCACTGTCAGAACATTTGTTGAAGTGCCACAACCAAACTGAGCTGTTGGTCTGCCGTCCACAAGGTAAAGGTGAAGGAAATTCTCTCCGTCATGCTCATCACTGGCTTTAAAGACAACAAAACGATACTTCTATAATAGCCATAGAAAATAACACAAAGAAGGTAGAGGGCTACATTAAAATATTGCAGTGTGTTGTGTATTTGTTACACTTTCTGCCCCTGTTAGGGCTTGTCTACATGGTTGTGCAGGCTAAATAGGGTTGTTTATGGTTGGTAGACACACCATTTGGTACTATCCTGGTGTCCAAATGGCATATGCACTTCAAGTGGCTCCATTGGTCTTTTAAGAAGGCAAAGAAAAAAAAACCTCCTTACCCTTTCCTGTCTCTTCCCATTTTCAGAAGGAAGTTTCCAATATTTTTTCCAAGTGATACAGCAAATCAGCACTGCCCTGCATCACATATATATAAGGTTAATTTCTGCCTCTTTATGGAGCCACTTTATGGAATCTTTCCTTCACTAAAAAAGTAGTAGCTCTTTATAGAGACCCAGAAGGGTGCAGTGGGGCCAGGAACACTGGGAACCAGATGGTTTGTACTAGTGATTATGTCATCTGATCATCAAAAAAAAGAAGTGAATCAGCCTGTTGTCACAGCAGACCAAATAGCAGGACAAATGTCCATCTGATCACACCTTTGGTTGCCTCTCAGTGTTTTTGTTTCCCCTCCTTTTGGTGGTGGTGGTGGAACAGTTGTGCCAATGTCTACCTACATTGAAATCTTTGATTTCTCTCCTAATGGCTACGAGCAGTTCTCACTATCACACTGGCATCTCAGTGTGAACTAGAACATGGCAGATCTAGGCAACAAGTGTTCTGTTGAGCAGTTCTCACTATCCCACTGGCACCTCAGTGTGAACCATGGCAGATCTAGGCAACAAGTGTTCTGTTTACCATTTGACCCTTTCTCCTTCGCCAATGGCCTTGTGCCATTATCCTTCCCACCAAATTGCTCATTTCTCTCTCTCTTTGTTGACATAATGAGCCACCGAATTATTATTGACCAATCTGGATTCTTTCATACCCATGGAAACCTCAAGATTATCCTAATTTTGCCGATACCTTTGTACTGTATGAGTGTCTTACAGTTTAGCTACAGTCATATAAGTATATGAACGTGAATTATTATTAGAAAGAATTGATGCCTGAAACAGCAAGATTTTTTTTAAAAAATAAAATACAGTGAAATAAAAAGTCAGTAATCTCAGAGAGCTTAAGTTCCCCCACAGATGACTAGTTATTCTTCTACAATGTGTGTTCAGTGATGGCCATCTCAATCTCTCCCTCTCCCCTCTAGAATTTAAGCTTTCAGACAAAATGATTATGCAGACATTACTGCCACAACATCTTAATGATGTTTGTACACACAGGCATGAGCCCCAGAAGGACTATTCAACTATGTGATTCTTATTGAATTGATGATATCTGTGCCTGTAGGAAGGGTCCTCGTGATATAGTTGGTTCTGCTAAATTTCCTTTTCTCCCTGCAGAATGCCCTAAAAGGTCATACAGGCACTTGAGAAGCTCTAAGGGTCTGAAGCTATCTGCAAGCTATTCTTGTTGATAACAAGCCATCAGGGTCTAATCCCTGGATACTAAAACACCAGAATGTGCTGCTAGCTGGCCTGTGAGGTAGAACAATGCTCCACGCTTAAGAATAGAGGGGAAAATGTATTCCAGATGTAAGATACTGTTCCAAAAGTATTTCTGTCAGATACCCTTCACATCATCCTGTCACCAAGACACAGTTCCTTTTCGTCCATCAGGCTAGTAGCGTTCATCAAAGCTTTCACGTGCTTCCTGATGTTTTTGTTGAGTAGTATTTATGAGTCGTATTTATCTCCCCTCCCACTTTGTTTTTGGGAGATTTCCTTCTATTGTGTGTGTGTATGTGTGTTTTTTTCTTTCATGACCTATATGCCCATATAGCCCCAATGTGACTGACACACCAAGTGTTTTTTGTTCCTTTTCCTTTAGATGAATGATGCCTGACATAGCCGTGCTCTATTGGTAGATGATTCATCAAAGCAGGCCTTTGAAATAAGAAGTCCAAAGTTCGCTCACACCTCTGGGAAAATGTCACTCGAGGCTGCAGGCCTGGCTGCTAAGAACAAGCCTTTGCATACTACATCTTCCTCAACTGGTAAAATCCCATCATGACAATTCTCTCAGGCCATTTATCAGCCTGCCCTCAAGACTGACACAACCCCTGGTTTTCTTTAAGTTGCATAGTAATTTTCTGTGAATTGTGTGTCTCCTTTTCCCTCCTCCTCTGCTGCCTTTTAAAAATAGCTGCTGGGATATAGACAAAAATCATTTAACTTCCTGGTACTGCAGAAAGACGATGTTAATAAAATCATCAGATAGAAAAGTGCTTTTCAGCAATGATTTGGAGCCTTGAATAAACTGCCACGGTTCAATTTACTGTTGTGATAATCTACCCACAGTCAATAATGTTCTCATTTAAAGTAATGACGTTTTAGATGAGAAAGCTTTTTTCTACAAAGTCAGTAAAAGTGGAACACATTTTAAAGTCTCTCTCTCTCTCTGTGCAGTTTTTGTAGTTTTACAGTAAGAGCTGAAAATTAAAGTCCTAAATCAATCAGTCATGTTTTTTCAATGTATTTTGCTCCTGCTGAGATTGTGCTTTGACAAGAGCAGACCAATGGCTGAAATGACCAAGGACAAGGGTCACTTGCAGTTAAAACCATTGTATGGTAATGATCAAAACCAGGATAGGTTACATTTTTTTGTACAAGATGATCTTACAGCCAGGAACTCTAAAACAGAGGTGGGTGATCTCCAAAGGTCTGGAGACCACGCATACCGTTATCTGGACCGTGGAAGGCCACACCTGCTCACATGATCCCAACACCCAATTTTTTCCTCATTAAAAAAAACTGAAAATGTCCCCTTCCTCCCTCTAAGGGCCATTCTTCTAAATTTTGAGGAGGGCTGGCTCCTGTCAAAATATGTCAACCTCCCCAAAGACATCACAGGCTACAAGGGGACTTTTCAGCTAATCTCCCAGAAAAAGTTTGGTTCGGAGCAATGGAGGTGCTGCGGGCCTGGATTGAGGCCCCTAGGGGCTTGCCTCCAGTGCACAGGCAGGTAGGTGTCCACTCCTCCTCTAAAATGAGAGTGTTGGTTTTTACACACCAACTTCAGAAAGACAAATAGGTTCTAGCTGGCCATAAAGTACAAAATGCCAAACTGTACAACATCCTGAAATGACTGAGTTGTTAAATATTTGCCTTAAAAATGAGGTCTTTGTCTGCCACTTGAAGGACAGTATAGGAAGGAGCCAACCTGGCCTCACAAGGGAGAGCATTCCACAACCTGGGAGCAGCCACTGAGATGGCCCCCTCTCACATCTTTACCAAATGTGCTTTTAAAGGCAGCTGGAGGAAAAGTGCCTCCCATCAAGATCTTAAAACCAGGCAGGCTCATAGATACAGTCCTCACCTTTTTAATTTCCACCCTACCCACCAGTCTATCAAGGGACCTGAGTCCCAATATAATGGAAAGAAAAGGATCTCATTTTCCAAAAGGTAGGTTGAGATGTTTTCAGATATTCTGCTATCATTTGCAATAAGTTGCTATCTAGGGAGAATGGGGTGTTAGCAGAGACAATGAGTGTCCAGAGTGACTGCTAGTTGGCAAGAGATTTTTTGATGTCTTGGATTTTGTTGTTGTTTAGTCATTAAGTCATGTCCGATCCCTTAATTTTCCATTCTGGGAGTTCTACCTGACAGCCCATACCTGTAGTCGCCTACATGTGGCTCACCTGGAGAAAAAGTCTAGCTAGGAAGGCTCCATGGCCTTGGATAGGCTTAGCTCTTTCCTGTTCAGAAAGGAAGATCCTAGTTAGCAATGGGGTAGATTCTTTTCTGAGCAGGATGTTAGAACAGAGCTAGGCCTACAGCAGGCCACAAAGCCTTTTCAGCTAGGACATACCTTCAGGCGAGCTACAGCACATATAGGTGTCTGCAGGTAAAGGATTGGAATGGAGAATTATGGGATTTGTAATCGAAAAGAAAAATAAAAAAAAACTCCAAAATACCATACTGCTAGAATGTAATTTATTTTTTATTTCTTTAAAATATTTTTATCTCACCTTTCTCCTTAAAAAGAACCCACGGCAGCTTCCATAATTGAAAAACAATATTTTAAATCTAAGAACAATAAATATAAAGATGCAGCTTATATCATTAAAAGACAAAATTAAAGCCAAAACCCCAAGTATACAACTATTAAAAAGGAACAAACAAATACCACTCTGAGAGAAGCTACGTCACCAAGGGAAGGCTTGTCTGAAGAGAAACGTCCTTGCCTGCTTGCGTAAGGACAGCAAAGATGGGGCCAGTCTGGCCTCCAGAGGGAGGGAGTTCCAAAGTCTGGGAGCAGCAACAGAGAAGGTCCTCTCCCATGTCCCATTAGACACATCTGTGAATGTGATGGGACTGAGAGAAAGGCCTCCCCTGATTATCTTAACACCTAAGCCTGCTCACAATGGGAGACATGGTCTTTGAGATTGCTCGAACCCAAAAAGTTTATACAATTTGAGAATATAGACAAGATCCTTAGCAATATGTGGTCAATGCCATGCATGCTTTATCTGTTTTTCTTCTGGCTGATTAAGGCAGCTTGGGGTGTCTGACTGGTTGGCTGGGTATAGACAGTAGTAATAATATCTTTTGAAGAACAATGTATGCCTCCCAGTCTGTAGGATGCAGTGGCATAGGGACAATGTTAATTTATGGATTGAGCCTTTTTAAAGTTAGAATGATTTCCCGAGTACATTTCCTTCTTTGTTTAGAAAACAGATCAGATTCAAAATGTTTGAAAAAAGCATCCGAACTATTTGGAACTATTAGAGTTTACGGCTGAAGCAATACAGAGAAACACACCACAAAATAAGAAAGTTATCTAAACCAGTGGTTCTTAACCTTTGTTACTCAGATGCTTTTGAGCTGCAACTCCCAGAAACACCAGTCAGGACAGCTGGTGGTGAACGCTTCTGGGAGTTGCAGTCCAAAACTCCTGA